TGCCGCGGCCTCTACCGCCTGTACCTGCGGTGCCAGGCGGCGCCGCTCCCCCGCGCCTGCCACGGTGAGTCCCTCAGGGCCCGGCCCCGTCCGGGAACCCCCCTTCCCCCCTCCCCGGTCGAGCCTGTAATGAAGCTGCGTTGCTGGCGTGGGGAGAAGCGGAATTACCTTCCCGGGGGTGTTGTCACTCACAGGGCCTTCGGGGGCCTCCGGGCCTGTCAGCCCCGGTCTCACGTAAAAATGATACGTCATGCCCGTCTCGGGGTTGAAGTTTGTAATTCTGTAAAACGAAGCGTAACCTTGCGGGGGGTTGCGTTGGTCTGAGCGGTGAGCCCCGGCTTTTCCTTTAGGCCACCGATCCTGTGACATTCAAATTCTAACTAGTGTTGCCCCTCAACGTGTAATCACTTGATTAGAATTGCAGTAAATGCCGTTTTCTTTATTGGTTTCTTGTGTGTGAGGATTAGTAGGAAAAATACCTTCATTAACGTGCTGATGAACTTTCCCTTTTTCACCTGCCCCAGTATCACCAAAGCTCAGGAAACAACACTGCTCGTCTTATGCCATGTATTTGTTGCAGTCTTCTTGAGTCATAATCAGTGTGTTGGCTGAGCTACCTTAGGTTGATTTTTCTGGGCTCTTGTTGCATTAGCAACAGCTAATAGTCAATAAGAACTTATCTGACTTTTTTTGTGAAATTGTTCTTCTGTGAGGTTCAGATCAGTGCGTGCAGGCATGCAGATACCTCTGTACTGTAGTAGAGGACTAAAATGAAAGCTGCCGAGGCTTTTATGGAATAATCAGTTTCATACGTTGGGAGGTGCATTATTCATCTATGATTAGTCATACTTTGCGTGACTTGATTTACCAGCACTGCTCAATTATTATTTTTTAAAAATTTATTTATTCTTTTAATCAGTGCTTTCCAAAGCAGCCAGTTTGCCTGTTGCATTTCTGGTTGGAGGAGTTATACACACTACAGAAGCGGTTTGTGCTGCCTAAAGGGGACTGGTTGCTCATACAGGTTGAACTGTACTGCATGCAATTCTGCCTCTGGCTAGTCTATTGAAATTGAAGATTGCCTATGCAGGGTGATTTCTCAGTAGCCTTCTTACATGTTTATCTTGTAGTTTGTCTGTTGTAAGTGTTGTAGAGTTTAAGATTCTTCTGTATAAAATGTTTTATACAATGTTGCATGCTTTTCAACATGATTTCTGTAGCAAGTTGCTCTTAATGAGTAATGCACCCAGTTAATTTTTTTCTTAATTGCTAAGCTGTGGTTTGTACAGAGAGCGTACATGGAGTGAAATGAAATGGCAACACTGGCTGATAGTTTTGTGGTGGTCTGTATTTGTTCTTTTATAAATACTTGTTTTTCAAGATTTTGAGACAGTGTGACTAGAATGTGACAATGTATCAGTAAACCAGTCTTATCAAATAGTGGTTTTTTTTTTGTGAATGAAAATGCTGCCAGGTCTTTACTGGTTTATTTTCTGTCAAATATATCCTACAGGGATCTGGAGCAGTGTGTTTTCTTTGAATCTTATGGATGCTTGGTATATATCTGTGCATTCAGAAGACTTCTGGCATAAGTGGACCCGAGACAAAATTACTGACATAGGTGGGTTATTTTTATGCTGTTATTTTAATTTTTTTTTTTTTTTTTTTTTTTTACCCTCTTAAGATCATCTAGAGGTCTTGGGGAAAAAGTGCATACTTATTGTATGGGGGGAAAAACTCTAACATTAGAATAAAATTTAGAAGTGGATGTTTAAAGGGAGGCAGTGAAAGTGTTCTGGGTACTCCTGTTTTGTAATTCCTAAACATGGGTAAAATAAGCACAGATCAGTACTTAAAAGCTAACTTTCCATAACTTCTGCTGGTATAGCTGGACTGCTTTCCCTTCTTTTTCCTTCCAAAATCATTGCCTGAATTGTCTTTTTTTCCCTCCTGCTGCTAGGATGGCAAGCTTCAATGAAAAGTGGGAGTCTGTCTTACATTCTACCATACAATCGTCTGCCTGTGCAGCTGATAAGTCAAGTGAGAGTTTATACCTCCAATGGTCAGAAAAAAGATCCTGGGTCAGAAGACAAAAATGGATCAGCCCCTCAAGAAACCCTGAATAAAGCTGGAACAGGTAGTACTAAGCTAAAATAAAAGAGTACTTATATAAATATAAAAACTTCATGTATTTAACAATTGATAACATTTTTTCCAATTGTGTGATATTACAGTTACAGAATTCTTTGTTTAGCTTGTGGGCATCTATATATAATTTCAAATGCATAAGCAGGAAGGAATGCTGAAAATTATTTATCATTCATTTAAGGGATTTAAGTTTAATCAAATTTAAAGTGGTGATGATAAAATGTGGATGTCAGAAGGCCTTAGGTAATTTAAGGAGGATAAGAAATTGAATGTATTATTTGTTTTTTACCACTTTGCTTGCTTATTTGACTTCCTTTTGTAGTAGTTCAGGTTTGTTGTGTGAAATGAACTAGTGATAAAGATTGAATGAGTGAATACTGAGCACTGTGACTTCTCCAGGTCAGGCTGTAGATTACTCGTGAAGAAGAGCTTTCTAATCTGGTAGTTGTCAGAACTGCAGCACTCACATTAAACACTTGATACAATTTTGTGCTAGTTTGGTACTTGTGAAATTCAGAAGTGTCTTGTCCTTGCTCCATCATACCATCTTCCATTTTTTTCTGCTTATTAAGGGTAGAACTACACAGATAATATGTTTGGAAGACTACTGTGCTTGAGAGAGAACAAATGCTTTTTAAAATGAAAGCTCTCTTTCTGTGTGTCTGAAACTAGTTGGTCTACTAAAGTAAATTTTCTTCTCTTTATTTTCAGGCTAGCAAGTATTCATCTTTTTTTTTTCCAGTAATTTGTAAATTCCTGTGGCTTGCAATGGTCTTTAGGAGCTAGTTACTACAGGCAGCTAAGAGTATTACTTTTTTGATGTTTGGAAGTACAGAAGTGGATCTTAAATGTTGTTTTGAGTGTAACAATTAGATATTGGATTTTAGAAGAGGATAATACTTAAGTAATGTTTGTATTTCTTGGAAACTCTTGAGCTGAAGATGGTTGCCAGAGGGTGAGATTCTTGCAGAGAAATGTCTCCCTGAATGCAGTGAAAGACTGTAGAGCCAGTTGTAGTTGTTGGTATTTTCTGAGTTCTTAATGTGCAGCTACTGGTGTTGAAAATCAGATGTGTGAAGATAAGCTGGCACTATTGCTTTCGTCATTGCCTTAAGTTTATATAATTGTTGATTGTCATGTAAAGGGATGTTCCCACCTTCTCCCATGCTTTGCTGATTATTCCCTCTTTTCTGCTGGCGTTAATGATGTTTATGCTGGTTTTGTGAAAAATGAATTGCTTTCCTGTTTTGCAGAGCTAGGGTTCAGATTGATCAGTAAGCTGATCTGTTCTGTCTCTAAAATGGCTGGAGGAGAAACACTGCCCTTTGTGGCAGCGTGGCCTCGAGTCACAGTAAGCCTTGAGTGGAACTGTGCCACATGGGCACCGTCAAAGACATAACCTTTTGTTGAGACTGGGGGGCTGACATGTACCAGGGTATATGACACTGCAGCCTAGAGATCCTGTGCATAGATGAACAATAGCTTTGAAGTTTATTTTTGGAATGCATATCACTATAAGCATGCTGCACGTAGGGGATGTTTTCTGGAGCCTAGTGGATAGAACGTTCTTATGTGTTATGGGCATATTACTACTATTTGTTTAAAAGGCATATTTTGATAGAAATCTGAAAAGGAAATATACTGCTTGTAAAGATTCTCATACGTTTCCAGTAACTTCAATATTTGGCAAATAATGGGTCTCTTTTGGACCTCCATTTCTTTATTAGTAAACTTGGGAAATGCTTTTCCTGTTAATGGGATATTGAAAATATTAATGTATTCATCTGGAAAGTTGATATAATTGTGCCTTTTTTTTTTTTCCCTCTGAAATCTTATGACCAAATCTTTTGTTAAATAGTTCTGGTGATATTTCTTTTAATTACATAAGTGGTTGTATGCAGAGCTTCTGAAAAGAAGCTATTACTGAGTTTTTGATAAGCTACCTTAGCTGAAGTTTTTTATCATGTGTATTGATAGATTGGCTGGCTGCTGTTTTAAACCAGGTAAGAGAAGAAAGAAAAGTAACAGCATAGTTTTTTTTGCTTTTGTTTTCAAGTCAAACAATAACTGATAGGGATGACTGGTTTAGGAATGTTAGTTATTTATGGTCCAGCCTTATTTGTTTGGTAGAGTCAGTTTCATAAACTTAGTGTACAAGAAAGTATACTTGAGTAGTTACTAGCCTTAGTCCTCAGTTGTTGTTAGGACAATAACTAATTGCCTGATGGGAAGATAGTAATGTAGTCCAAGCTTCAAGAATATCTGACCTTTGAGTAATCTGAGTAGCGTGTTAAGCTAGGAGTATCTCACTAATTAGCACAAACTTGCTTGAAAAATAATCATTTTTTTAAAAATCTGTTACTTCCAATGAGGTTGGTTTTAATTCTGTTAATGACTGTGGATGTGTGGCAAACCTCCAACGTTAGGGAGTGTTAGGACACAAAAGAGTGGGTATGTTGGTTCCATGTCTTGGAATCATAAGATTTTTGGTTTTTATTTAGAAATCTTGCTAAAATACTTTGGTTTTGCTCTAGCTCCAGCTTGTGCCACAAGAGGTGTGGATTTGGTATCTTAAAGAGCTAGTTTTTTGTAAGTTAAAAGCTTCAGTCCCTTAAAATTGAATTACAGCTTGAAAGCTCTGTGAGCCTTGGGTGATCAGCAGCCATAAACTATATAGAATTCATTATGTTTACTAATCCAAACTTTTGCATAAAACTGACCCCAAACTATAAGTACACTGTTAAAATATTTTTTAAAAAAATCAGGATACTTTCTGAATTATGTTGTCAGTTGGTAGTCTTCTGCAAGCTGCTAGTTTATTGGTCAATGCTGTATTACATGTTTTATTTTGTCATTTATTTTTTACTGTTTCTTGGTTTTATTTTTAGAGTTTTAAGTCGTGGCAATCTGGCAAAAATGTTTTTTATCTGTCAAGATGGAAAGTGGTATTAAGATATTTTCTTGTTTTGTTATGTCAAACAAACTCTTTACTAAAAAGAAAAGTAGATACTTCCATGTTTACAGTGAACTTTTATTTTATTTTTCAGGACAAGATGCGAGCAATGCAGGACAAAAGCAGTCTTTAGTTAAAGAGCCAATCCAAGTAAAAGGTAAAGAAATACTTCCTGCGTTGGAACTTTACTGTTGTCTGCTAGTAGTCAAAAAAGATACGTGTAAGGAAGCTGTGGCTCCTCTTTAATTGTGTACCAACTTGTGTGAATAACATTTTAAAACACACTTGTATGTCAGCTTTGTTTGGTACCCAATTGTTTGGAAATGGCTTTGATTTCTGAAAAATTGAATATAGAGGTATTCCTTCGATTACTCACTCTTCTGTGTCTGTTTTTGTTTCATTTAAGCTGATGAGTTTGTCAGGAAAAGGCTAATTTGTTTTCTTGTCTGTTACTACAGTCTGTCCTCCTTGCACGTTTTAGGCATGTCCATTCACTATTTCAGGCTTAATGTGGCTAAGCTGAATACTTCATCTTCCCCTGTTTCTTGTTCCAGGTCTTCCTCTGTTCCTTCTTATCGCTGAGTTAATCTAATCAATGTTGCTTCTAAATATATTTTGACCACGTGAACTGGCTAATCTGAGTCCTGTAATGTTCCCATTTGTGCCTGTAGTAAATACATGCTTTTGTCTTTAGTTATTACGTTGTTTAAAAACATAAGTAGATAAAATAAGAGCAAAACTTTCTTCCCTGTTTTCAGTTTATCGTTACTTGATTTCACTCCATCTTCACTCTGATTCTATTATGTTATTGTGAATTTATGCTTTTAAAAACTCCTATGCCTTCTGTGTATGGAAAAAACTCCTAGCCTTCTGTGTATGGAAAAAAACTTTCCATTTATCCTTTTTCTGAATAGGTGCAGTATTCTTTTCCTTGGGCATGAAAAAATGATGTTATAAGAGTACATCTTCTAGACATGCAAAGCAATATAAAGGCTGTATATTTTTAATTGTTATAAATGCCCAATATTACATGTGCTAATTTTGAAAATAGTAATTGAGAAAAACTATGTATACAGTCTGTCTCAGCTCTCTGTCTCTTTACAGTCTGCAAAGGTCAAAATCTTACCTGAAGAAGGTGGATTGGTTAGGTATTGGAAAGAAAGACATGGAACTTTATGTTGCCATTTCAGTTGCTAGAGCAAGGCTTTGCCATATTGGAATGCTATCTTGGTAGCCAAGCACCATCACAGTCGGAGTGGTGGCTGGCTGGCAGTTAAGTGTATGGGATGTCTGAGAGCCCTGGGCTACAATTTAGCAAGTTGCATTTTTGGAGGTAAATCATTCTACTCTTATTTCCACAATGAAGAACATTCCTGTGAGGAATTATCCAATGAGGAGCAGCTGAGGGAACTGGGGTTGTTTAGTCTGGAGAAAAGGAAGCTGAGGGGAGACCTTCTCGCTCTCTACAACTACCTGAAAGGAGGGTGTAGAGAGGTGGGGGTCAGTCTCTTCTCCCAAGTCACAGGCGATAGGACATGAGGGAATGGCCCCAAGTTGCACCAGGGGAGGTTTAGATTGGATATTAGGAAAAATTTCTTCATGGAAAGGGTTATCAAACATTGGAACAGGTTGCCCAAGGAAGTTGTGGAATCACCATCCCTGGAGGTGTTTAAAAGATGGGTAGATGTGGTGCTGAGGGACATGGTTTAGTGGTGGTTTTGTCAGTGTTGGGTTGATGGTTGGACTTGATGATCTTAAAGGGCCTTTCCAACCCAGGCGATTCTATGGTACCTCTGTCTTCACTCTTAAATTTTCCATCTCACTGACAAGCATTGTTTTTCAGATCTTCATTTGGAGATTGAATTACCTTTTGAAGCTTCTGCTGAGTGACTTAACTTGCTTTTATCTATTTCTGTTTTTAAGTGAAAGCAGTCCTTAAAAAAAGAGAGTATGGACCAAAATACACACAGAATAACTTCATCACTGGAGTCAGAGCAATAAATGAGTTTTGTCTTAAATCCAGGTAGGATGGGTTTGAGTTGAAATATAAATTGTGAATATTTGTTGTGTTTGTATGTGTTTCAAAAGTAATTGTGATGGTAGAGCAACTTTGCAGAGCAGCTTTTTCTAAGTGGTTTTGTCATACACATAATCATAAGTGGTTGAAGTTAGTTCTTGCTTACTTAGTGTTACAGTGGATTAGGAACTTGCACTTCGCATGTTTCCATAGTGGCTTCTTAAAGTAATTTATTTGTACTTATACAACCATAAATCTGGTTGGGGGAGTCCACCAGTCTAGAAGCATGAACCCTCCTGTTTAGCACTTTTGCACATTGTCAGTTGCATGCAGATAATTTATCAGATGTTTTATTATTCAATGTTTTGTTACTTTGTCTTCCATGTATAGTATTTCATAGTGCAAGGATGTGATTTACACTTTTGAGTGTGGAAAATGCAGTGATTTTCAATAGCATCCTAGAGATAACTTGCTTCATGTTGCATATCTTTTCTGTTTGGCTCAAATAAACAACTTCAGGTTTTTTGTAGTGCAAATTGAAAATATCAAAATTGTGGAAGATCACCCAGACATAACAGAAAAACTAGAATAATACGAGCTCTTTCTTGCACTAAACTGTTTGTCCACTTTCCTTAGTGATTTAGACCAGCTGAGGAAAATTAAACGACGGAGCCCCCATGATGACACTGAGACTTTTACTGTGTACCTGAGGTCGGATGTCGAGGCAAAGTAAGAACATTTTTATGAAAGAAAATGTTTGGATCATTTAAAATGGATTATATGAGAGAGAGAGAGCAAAAACTTTTAAAAGTCAGGTTTACAGTATGAAAAGGCAGTAATGTTTTCCATTTTCTATTTAAACACATTTAATATCCTCATTATTGTAATTACATGGCGTATATAAAATTCAAGGGTATGTTTCACATGTCCAAAGATTAAGTGTTTGTTCTCAGCTCCTTCTTGCCCAGCTTTTTATTCTTTAAAGCTGTCTGTGTGGCTTCTTATCAGAAAAAGTGATATGTTGCTTTGCTTTTAGGAAAGGCATTTGTGATGTAGTCAAACTGAAAAGAAACTGTATAAATAGAACAATTGCTAAGTTATTTTTACTTTGTGCAGGTCACTTGAAGTTTGGGGTAGTCCAGAGGCTCTTGCTAGAGAAAGAAAACGACGTAAAGAGGCGGAGATCAAGTACAGAGAAAGTGAGTATAGAGTTTTCAAATAACTTCAGATGTAAACAACAAAGTATGATGGTTAGAAATCCACTAGATGGTGTGTTCATTGAGAACATCCAAATTTGGAACTAGCAATTACTGATAAGTTTTTTATAGCATAGTGTTAGAGTAACACTTTACTGTCTATGCAGATATAGTTCTGTTACTGTCTTACAATTTATCATCTCTGTGATACAGCAAGAATATGCATTCAGTTGAGATCTGTAATCATACTTTGTTTTTTGGAAGGCTTTCAATTTTTAGATTATAATTAACATTTTCAATGGTTTTGGATTTCTTTTTAATTGAGAATTTTGAAAAGACTTTAAAACAATCCAAATAATGATACCATACTGTTACTCATTTGTTTTTCCTCTGAAATGAATTTATCTTACCTTTGTGGTTCAGAAGTGGGGGAAACACCCCCAAATCATCTTTTTGCTTAAAATTATTGTTATCCTTGCTGCCATTGTCAATAACAGACACATTCAAATCAGTAGTTTTTAATGGATTTTAATCTGTCTAGTCGGTTAAAATCACAGTAGAGGCAATATTGTTTCTAGGTACTTACCCCAATTATGCACCTTAAAATTAGAGGTCTCTTCATTTATTTTGAAGCAGTTGTGCCACTGGAACACCCTCCTAGGGAAAAGGCTGGAGCTGCAGGCACTTGTACCTGTTTTTAGCTTCAAAATTTTTAGTAACCAGCAGAAACATTCTTGGACATAATCCATAAAACTGTAGTATACCAATGTTTATTTTGAAGGTACGGAACATCATTAGTGGATGGAAAAATACTGATATTAAGAGACTTGCTTTAAAACATCCTTCCCCCTCTCCTTTGCAGTTAAAGGGTGGGAGAGGGGCAGTAGAACACTTGGATTTAGTGTGGCGTATTTTGACTGTTTCCCTCTCTGTATCACCCTTTGTTGGTAGAAAAAGCAGCGAAGTATAGGATTGTAACAGATTGTATTTGGCATTATGCATGAGTATGTAACAATATGTGTTTAACAACACCAGGAGAAGAGTTTTTCACAAAGAAAGAATAGGTAGGCCTTACTAGAAGTTGGCTGCTGCCTGAAAAGAATAGACTTCAATTTCTGAAACTACTGGCTACTATTAAGTATTCATAATAAAAATTTTGTATTGCAGACCTATTTAGAAACCAAAGGCTGTTGTGGGAATACAAGGAGTTCTTTGGAAATACTAAGGTAAGAGATGTTTTAAAGTTTTTTGGCTAGAGAAGTGCCCCAAGATGTACTGTGACACCTTGTGAAGGAAGAAGTTATGAAAGGGTTGCATAAGCGTAACTGAGTACTATTGGAAGATTTATTTGCACTGTAATGCACCAGCTGTATCTCTGATTGTAATGCAGTGGTAAATGTTATGATGGCAGTTTAAATGGGTTCCTGCTGTGGCACTGTAATCTGCCAGTAAGGTATGGGATGTTTTTTGTCAGTTGCCTCCTTATTAACAAAACTGCAGCTGTATTTGTGATTTCATCTGTAGTCTATAAACATATATAATAAATATATTGTTAATTGAAGGAAATGAAATAGTTTCTTAAGGGGAAAAAAAAACAACAATCCAAGACATGAACTTTGCTCTATGCCCTGCTGGCCCTTCCTCTTTGCTTAAACAGACCCATTCCCTAGGTCCAGGTGCTCTGCTATGGTAGAATGATTTCTTAATCTTTCTGCTGCTCAGCTGGCTCCTGTCCTTATGGTTGCAGTGGCCCCTGGTGGAGGCTTTGTTGATTGTGTATCCTTTTTATAGCCATCCATTTGTGTAAGACCCAACTGCACTTTGGGTGAGCATTTAGTGGTAAATTACTAGGCTACAAGGACTGTAGCTTTGCTTATGCAACGCAGGGCAGTGCAAAGTTTTTATTTAATAACTTGTATGATGAGTCCTTCATTTGGTCAAGATGTGATTATTTTATTTTAATAATCTCTTATTTCTTTATATAGCCACGCTCCAGTGCAGCAGCTATGTTTTTCAAGGGACCAGGGAAGGTGGTAATGGTAGCTATTTGCATGTAAGTTTAAAAAAATAAATGTTTTTGTTTATGCAAGTAAGAAACAATTTATTTTTATTATCCTGGAAATGAGAACAGTCTGTGTATTCAAGCTAAAGATACCTGTGTCTCTATAACTTAATAGATTTGTTTATTTATTGCTAATGGAAGAGAGTTCAGGTAAATACATCCATCTGTATATAGAGATTAGGGATAGAATATGTCTCTGATCAAAGAAGAGCAAATTTTTTGAAGCTAATCAGACTGAACAGTTTATTAAAGCAAAAAAAACCTAAAATTTTGAAGGACATGGAGAGGCAGGCATTTAAGGTTGTCCTTTTTTCTTGCTCCTTCTTGAGAGGAGGCTTTACATATGTTTTAAACAATCTCCCATATAACCAACAGAAAAGAATTCACCTTTCTGGTTCTGCTGTTATTCAACTCTTTTCCTCTTTGAGAAAGGGATGTTGTAGGAGGTTTTTGCCTTTCACGTGTCTTACAAGTTTGAATGAAACAAAACTAATGATCATGATTTAAAGCAAATGAACACAGGCTATCTGGTATGAAATACACAGAAGTCTGGTAAGTTTCTATCAGGAAACAATGGCTAAAATTTACTTGCCATAAAACCTGTAAATTTTTAAAATGGATTTGGTTTTATAAAAGGTATTTATTTGCTAAGACACTGTGAATATAAGGGAGCAAAATAGAAACATAAAAATGCTTTTTTGGCACAGCAGTCAACATTTTGAGGAGGAGATAATTCTTTGATTTTTTCCTACAAAACTATATGCTTTTTGCTTGGGGGGGGACACACCCACAAAGCTTGTTTGACTAAAAACCTCCCTCTTTAAATATTCTGCTATTAACTGTTCAGAGCTTTCCAAGCTGAAAAGATGAATCTGCTAGTATGGATGTTGGTGATGTTGTATGGTCATTTCCACCTTCTTCACTCTCTTACAATGGTCTAGAGAAAACAGACCTTTCCTCCTGCTTTGTACGTAGGACATTGCTATAAATGTTGCTCACTCTGCACTTCATAAATACCTTTTGGATGATTAGGCACTTTTGTAGATAAATGCCTGGCAGCCAGGCTGGCAGAAGTTTGTAGAGCCTGCTGTATTGCTCAGTCATCTTTTTGTTTTCTTAGAAGTTAAAGGATCTCTTGTGGTCTTTAAATACCTGGTGACTTTTCAGAGATTTAAGTCAAGGCCACCATCAGTGCTTCTTCGTTCGTGGCCCTGATCTTCTTGACATCAGCATGATCTTTAATGGCTTCTGGTTTTGGGTCAATAAAGTCCAATCTGTCTTAACTTCTCCAGCTGGAATGATTTGGTAGGCTTTTCACAAACTTGAGGCTTCACCAGTGAGGATGCAACATGGTTCAGTCAAAAGCAAAGTTCTTCTCTATGGATCCCCATGAGAGCATATAGACCAGCTCTGTGGTGTTTAATAGAATTCTGTGAATGAGGAAAAACTGTAAAGCTCTGTAAGAGAAATACAGGAAGGCAGTGGCTTTTATCAAAAAGGGAAGGGTCTATAATTTGCAAAACATTCTTCAGAGTCTGGCATTGTTGAAGTGATTTCATTGTCGTGCTCACAGTTTACCTCTTCAGCAATACAAAGTTTGCAGGGTATATAATATATTTTTTAAAAATAGTAGTGATCAAGGATGTTGATAGTGTTACTGCTTCTTTGGAAATAAATGTGATGAAATGTGTTCTCAAATTAGTTCTCAAATTTAGAGCCTAAATAGAAGACTCTTTTCCCCATAGATTTATAATGGAACTGAATATTTTCAGTTTCATTTTGTAAAATTCTGACTTTTTTTACTGTCTTTTCTCAAAAAGCCAAAATATTTTATGTAAGTTAACAGGGATGGTTGTGTAAAATCAGACCAGGTCCTTCTAAACTGTTATCTTATGCTGCAAGGTAGGGTATAAATAGCAAGCATTCACATGATAGTACAGTTTGCCATACATATTTCTCAATTCCCTGTAATTCCTGTTCCCCATATACACCTTAGGGTTTTGAGGTGGTTATCTTTGAAACAAATTTGGAATGATAAATATGTAAAAGCAAATATTAATGCCTTGTAATTTTTTCAAGTTTACAGTTCAGTCGGGATAGATTTATTTGAATTTTTTTAAGTTGTCATTTAAATTGTTAATTTAGGAATCTTGATGAGAATAACTGATTTTGATCTACTTTTGCATTTGTGTGCTTTTTTTTCCCATAGGAAGGCTGATTCTTTTCATGTATCAATAAATCTTAAAGTTAGCAATTAAATTTTTAGAAAATTGACATATTCTGATAGCACGAAGATGTATATCTGTTTTAACACCCTGCCTTTGTTGGTGAATGTATGCCTTCTATGTGGGCTTTAGAATATGGTTGTAAACTGCTTTTTTTGGTGAAACTGCTTTTTTTTGAAGGTGCAGAAGAGAGACTTATTAGAAAGTGCTGCATAGTAGTAGGCTTAATAAGCAAGAGAATTGTACCTAATGAATCATGGTTTGTTGTTGTTATTTCTTGGTATGATGTCCAAATCATTACAATAAATCTTTTTTAGACTTAACCTACTTTCCTACTCTTTCAAGTCCATGCAGATAGAGATGAGGTAGCTAAATGAATCAGTTCAGTTCATTTCAGTATAATAGAGAAAATACTTTCTGAATTGGCGGTCACCAATGTAAAAGATAAATTTGTTTCAAACTGCTTCGGAGTCTTTTAACTGCCTTCTTAGACTCTGCTGATTTTGGATTGTTTTTCCTCTGCTGTTTAAAGTCTTTGCAGTATTTCTTCAGCAGAATTTAGGCTTTCAGGGCTTATTATTTTCAAATGCAGTGGTGAATCTGTTTTTTAAATCAATGCATAATTTACTTGCAGTGAAAACCCAACCTTTTTCAGGAAACATGCAATAGCCTTGATGGTTCTGGAGACTCACTATTTTTTTGGGTAATTATTTCCCATGTCGCACTCTTCATCTTTCTGTCCTATGTCTCCAACTTGCTGGACATCATTAACAGATGGATTTTGCTGGGCCTGACATTTGAAAGTCTTAGTGTGACTGCTTCTCAGATTTCTAGGACGTCAAATCCCCCCACAAATTTGGAATTTTTAGGGGTGAAATAAAATACCAGCTTAGTGCCTGTTGTGTCATCTGAACAGGCGGGGGCCTCACAACTGAATTGTACCTTCAGATAAACTGTCACCTCCATTAATGCAACATTGAGAAGAACAATACAAAAGTCAAGAGACTATGCTCATGAATCTCACTGTAATTTATTTCATTTTCTTTCTCTGCCAAAGATGCACTATGCTGTGAGTTGGAAGAACTTGTAATTAACACAAGGACTTTAAATTACTGTTTAGTGTTACAACAGCCTTCCTTTCTTCTTGAGTTACCTACTAACTTGAGCATTTTTTTACTTTCTACCTATAAATTATGATGATGCTTCAGCAGCTCATGAGGTAATGAGATTAAATTAAAAATTGTAAAGCACGTTCAGGTCCTTGGATGGAGGCAGGTGTAGAAAATAGTGCTACCTCTTGCTTAAAGAAGTGGATGTACTGTCACAGAAACTGTTTAAGGATGACCTTGGAAATGAATGTTATTTAATCAACTCTATAATTTGGTGTATGGCAGGGGGCTGAACTTGCGCTTCCTCTAACTTAAATATAATTTCTTGGCATGTGGTTGCTCAAAAATGTTTATTTATAACATTTAATTTCATTTTAATACTTTTAAAAATTACCAATAAACTAAGCTCCAATATATTAAAAAAGATAGAGGAGAATGTTAACTCTGTAGTCTGATTTACTTTGTAATATGATTCTAACAGTTAGCCTACTGATTGTGACAGTGAGTGTTTGAAGTGAGAGTGTAGGCGTGGGCATTAGCGCTATTAGTTACCTTGCTCTGTACAACGTAACACACTGTTTACTCCAGTGAGCTCGTAGCCTAAAAAAGACTGGACAAGTCACACTGGACATCTTGGAAAAAGGAAGAGTTCTATAGATAATTTTTACAGCATGATCATCTAATGACAGCCTTGTCTTCCTCACTGTTGTCTTACGTTTGTATCCTACTGGAAGTAGGGAACGTTTCTCTACATTATTAGGAGGGGTTGTATAGGAGGCAGAGGATTGAAGACAGAGAAAGGAAATTAAGGCTTGTATTCTCACACTGCGTGCCAGTTAGTTGATCTGAGTAGTGAATGTGATCGTAATCTTAGGACTTAAGACTGCTTAGAAGTTAACGATTTTGGAAAAATAGTGTATATTTACATATCATTTTAGCTGAAAGGGTGTTTTAACAGTAACCATGCAGAAAATGTGTATGCCTTACCTGCCTGTACAGGTCTCTAATGAACTGATATTTGGTTTCACCACTTGCTGGCAGGTAATGCATGATTATACAGCACCTGTGGTTTTGGTGAAAATATTAAAGACCAAATATTCCGTTGTTTTTTAGCTTATTTTTTTCTCTCTTTTCAGAAATGGGTTGAATTTTTTCTTTAAGCTACTTGCTTGGGTTTACACGGGTTCTGCAAGTATGTTTTCAGAAGCCATACATTCTCTAGCAGACACATGCAATCAGGTGAGTATTTTTTCCATTCTGCTTAAGTTAACACTTGTAATAATTTTTCAGGAATGAAGACCGATACTTAGAGTAGTTGTATTACACTTGAAAGCAGTGATTCCCATCTACTAGGGTTCCTTAGTTTGCCTATGCTATCTGAATAGTAAGTGCCAGAGACATGAAGACAGTATTTTGTTTAGGAGGACTAGAGCGCGTGGCAAAGTACTTTTTCTTTACAAAGTTTGCTCATAGATAACAGTGTTGTAGAGAAGCCTAGAAATTCCAAGTTTATTAGCCAGAACTCTAGTTTAAAATGACTTTCAGATGCTGCTGGGATGCGTATTTACAGTGCTCTTCCTGTTTAATACCTGTGATGGTTTTTGAGCTGTTTTGCATGGTTTACATGCTTCCTAGAATTAGTAGTAATATATTCCAGGAGGAAAAAAGCTAGTACTTAGTCTAATGACTGTTTAAATAATTTTGAGGCAAAACACTATTAAAGATGTTTTTAAAATAAACAGTTTCATCTGAGAGAGGGTGGTTTTGTGTTTTACTTTATTATTAAATAATTTCTGTTTTCAGTCATTCAGATTTCAAAGCCTGCCCAGAGTGTGACCAGCTCTGACTCCCCTCGCAGTGGGAGGAAGATGTGCTCTTCTCTATGTGCACGTATTATACATATTTTTTAGCTTCCCAGAAACAAAAGCAAATCTCCCTTGCAAAGGAATGTTATTGTTATCTACAATTTTATCAAACTGTAGGCAGATGAAGGCATGTTTTGTCAGAAATTCACTTTACTTCAGGAACATTGCAAAGCCCAGAGCTCTTTCTGCTCTTCCCTAATCTGAGTGCAAAGCTGTTGTTACTCTGTTGCAAATTTACTTGCCAAAAGTAGTGGTTTGGATTAGTGGTTTCTTACAGGTTTATCTAGCTACTTTTTTATTTTTTTTTTATATTGATGCCAGTAATTTCATGCAGGGTTTATAAGCTAACAGTAAAATAACTGACCTAGTCTAGAAACTTTAAATGGAGAAGGAATCTAGAAAGTCACCTGTAACACTAAATAAAGTCTATTTGAATGGTGTTAGTACTAGTATTTCTGCTAATATGATGTTATTTGTAATATTATCTACATTATTTCAAACCACCAGCCCCAATTACTTGTGTTCTTCTTTCTAAACTAGAGTTTTTTCATATAAACAATTGTTCTGTACTTCAGTTGCAGTTTATTTTCCCTGTAATACCAAGATGAAAGTACACCAAGAAAGGTCAGATGGGTTATAATATTAGTGAAATATACAAGCACTAGGAAATAAGTCCCAGGAGAGGTTTAGTTTTGTTTGTCACAATGCATATGTGTAATGTCACCAGCCTTATCTTTAGGAAGTGGTGTCAGAACAAAATCTCAGTAATCTGGGTTATGTCCTCACTCCTGTCTGCCGTGATCCCTCCCCCTCCTGGACAAGAATGGTGTGATGCCCTTCTTAAAGTATTATTGAGTGCTGTCCAGATAATAAAAAAAATGAAAATTTGGCTTACTGCTGAAAGAAGATGCAGCGTAAAATTATAGCTCTAAATGTATTATGTGATCACCATAGTCCCTGTATAAATTCACTTCAAAAGAAATTTATTTAAATAGCTTTGTTCCCTGAACAACTTCATTCCTTCACATTGAAGCAGAGCAACAACACTTGTTATTCTGTGTAATGTTCACTTTTGGCTGCAATTCTAAAATTATAATTAACAGTAATTATATATGTATACAAACACTATAATTAATTATATGTTTTTTTACATATATATGTATAATTAATTTTTGGGGAGTGGTAGATTTAGATGACAGGTTTCTGAGGATTATATTCTAGCTCTAATAAAATAGTAACAAAAGTAACAAAGCATATGTGCAGATCAGCAAATTGTATCTGCCTTTATCTTTCAAGTTCTGTTCATATAGAATGTCTCTAAATTTACTGGTGGTGGTTTTTTTTTCTTAACAAAATTTTTTTCCTTTTGTCCTAAATAGGCATTGCTAGCTTTGGGCATCAGTCAGTCTGCAAGGACGCCTGACCCTAGTCATCCGTAAGCTTTTTGAGTAAATAATGATTTTGGTAATTATATATCTTGGAGTAAGATGAGTTTTTGTTTGTATGTTGCCTTGTTCTTTTTAATCTGTTTTCTTTGTATCATTTCTGGAGAGCCTGGTTTCTGATTTTACAATAGGTATAATAAGAAAAGAGATTTCTTCCAAACCACTCAAGTTTTAGCTTCAGTGGCTTGGTGTGTGTTATATTTCATGGGGGTTTTTTATGGTGTGGCTTCTGATGTGTATTATTTTAATGTGCATTATTTCTCTAAGTTATTCTGGCCTCTTCTGCCTCTTCCAATGGATAGATCTACTTTGGTTTTAAACACTTTTCATGTGAATGACAAGACTTCTTGAAAATAACAAATACTGCACTTTTCCAGTTTTTAACAAAGTGCTTTACTGCAAGGCAGCAACTTGTATTGCAAGAAGATGTGTTTGACTTAAACTACTCTTTGTTTTTATCTGAGTAATAGAGATATCACTGATAAGTTTTTACAACTTCATGAAAGTTAGAAGCTATACTCTCCATGCTATTTTCTTGGTGTTGACCTGCTTTACACTTCATGTTTTTGGGCAAGTCATTCATACTCTAAGAATTAGTTCAAAATACAAAAAATACATATAATTTACAGAAGTAGTTAATCTTTTCTTCATGAAAAACATCAGATCTTCCTCAATATAGTTTTCTGTACTACTGTTTTTTAAATGTTACTGAAGAAATGTACTGTTTGTAGCTATTAATGCAAAAGGGAAAAAAAAAAGAATAGAGGCACACTTTCCATATTGCTTTACTTCTTCTATTGCTTTACACTGCTCTTAGAAACTGCAAATGTTGAATGTTTGCAGTTAGGTGGACTACTTAAAGATGTCATAAATTTTATTCCCTTTAAATTAGCATTATAAAAGGTGTAGACTGGCTGCCTGTAAGGTTAGAGTTTTCATTTAAAATAGTATTTCATTTAAATGTAAAAATGACATGCATGGGTTGGTTTTTTTTTTTTATAGTAGTAAAATCCTCAGTCTCTGCACAAGGCCTAATATAGCTATGTAAATAGCTTGTTTTAAAAAAAAATAGAAAAATATCTATTCTTGATGTCGTTTTGTGTACTGGATATCCTTTTCCAAGTGGCTTTTTTCCCCCCTTGATTAGGTTGGATTTAGTAGCTTTGTCTTAAATAGATGCCCAGTCATATGATGATAGTTTAAGACATGTAAAAATTAATGGAAAAAAACTTGTAGATGTGTTCACAGAGATATAGAACCTTATTTTGCTAAATCACTTTCTTTGTTTTCACCTAGGTATGGTTTCACAAACATGCGCTATATTGCCTCCCTGATCAGTGGGGTGGGCATTTTCATGATGGGTGCAGGACTTTCTTGGTATCATGGGATCATAGGTTTACTCCACCCTCATCCTATAGAATCTCTTCTTTGGGTAAGCTAATCTTGTTTGATATTGTATCATCTAATGTTTGTGACTTAATAGAAAGTAATGACACAGTCTGAAATTCACTTCCTGAGTCAGTTTGAATCCCAACACAATTAACTTAAGCCATCCTTAATGAGTTTTAAGACAAAAAAAATGTTAAATTATAACTGATCTTATACTAAAGTGAGCTGTTTTTTAAACCCTGCATCTTCCCTTTATATGTCCCAAGAGGTCCTCCTTTCCAGTGTTGCAATAATATATTGCATATTTCAAATAGTGTCGGTTGCTTTTTGTTTAGGGACAGCTACAGGGCACAGTGGGTGGTAGGTTTGGATAGCCTATGGTGAAGAGATCTGTATGAATAAGCATATAACATAATAATTGAGACTTTTTTTTTTTATCCATACAGGCATACTGCATTTTAGCAGGCTCATTGGTATCTGAAGGAGGTATGCAGTTTCAAGAAATATTTATATTTCAGTATTTATAATCTCTAAGAGTACAATGTAATTACAGTAATAGTTGGTCTTTGCTTACGCAGTAAAGTTTTGAGCTCTGTTGCAAATACTTGCTTTGTAAACAAGCAAACAAAAAGTGGGAAGACTTTTACTTGTCTAATATATAATGTCCGTGTATTATATATATTTGTATAATAAGAAGTTGAAGAACAGGTAACTTGAAAAATATATGTAAAATGTCTTTTTGGTATTAAATTATCAGTGAATATAACTCTTCCAATTTGTATGGGAGACACACATGTAGAAAAGAAGGTAATGCTATGCTTTGTTATTATGGAAAGTATCAATAATCAGAGCTTTCTTGATGGCCTGTTGCTATTATATAAAGAAAAGTTCCCTCTTTTCAAATGGAAACAAGTGTTTTTGCTGTTGTTTCAGCTACCCTACTTGTTGCTATAAATGAAATTCGCAGGAGTGCTCAAGCCAAGGGTCTGTCATTTTATCAATATGGTATGTGTCGTTATAGCAATAAGGTATGTGGTTGCTAAAATAGAATCTATTTACCAGTATTTGCATAATGGTAGAAACAACTTTGTCTGATTTACATTTCCCCTTGCTTTATTGATCTGTTTTCTATTCTAGTAACAAATACATTTTACAAATTGGGTGAAAACCTGTTGATTTAAGTAACGCTACTTAGATACTTCTACTAAACTACTTGCATTTTTCAGAATAAATGCCTCTTTAAATTTTTCAAACATTTTGGAGAAGCTTCCATAATTGGCACAAGGCTTTTGTGTATTTATGAATGCTTTCAGAAGCATGTGCATATGCAAAAATTCAGTTTACACCTATATTCTTATGGAAATTTTTCTCTTGAGTTGATGGTGTAAGTATAGTTTAAGTACTGTGCATAATGTACTAAAGCTAAGCTTTCCAAAGCAATGTAACTCTTTCTTTTTTGTGTATGCAGTCGTGCAGAGTCGTGATCCTAGTACAAACGTGGTCTTACTGGAGGATGCTGCAGCTGTTCTGAGTGTGGCCGTAGCTGCTACCTGTATGGGTCTGACTTCTCTAACAGGTAAAATTCTACCTTGGACTGAGGCAAGCAGGATGTGAAGTTCCTCCTGTTCACAGTGTGAACACAGAGTTTTTAGTTTATATTCGTTAACTTTAAATACATCCTACTCTTTTTCTGATGCTTGTAGTGTATAAACCTCTGGAGGTTTATAGTGTTCTCTGATTGGATTTCTAGTAGTTTGAGTTGAAAATATTTAAAATAAAAAAAGTTTGGTTTTTTTTCATGTGTTTATTATTGGTGGGATTAGGCTGGAAAGAGTGCATGCAGATGGGTTTAATTTCCTTTTGAGCTATTTTATCATACCAACTAGGTTATTATTTACTAAAGGTATGTTTATTGTAGTCAGTTAAGTAAATCGCTTTGGTCCATTCTGGGATTTTTGCGCTTCCTCGTTCAGTGGTGTGCAGCTCCCTGTGTGTGTGGGGAGGATTTAAAGACCCAGTTCTTTCCTTCCTTTTGATACCTAGTCCTATTAGTGTTATCTTCAGATTACAGTAGCTGTTCCTGAACAGTGTGGCAAACCTATCTCACACAGGTGGGATCATCTATATGGCAACTGATTCAAAGTCTGTCTTTGCTGCACAGTTACATTTTCTAAAGAGGAAATTTGTCCCTTTTAAAATAGTGGCTTTGGCTTTTCAATTGTTCAAAAAATAAATATGGTAATTTTGTTTCTTTGTGGCTTCTAGTGAGTTAATTGCCAGTGTCATTTTTTTTATATAGAAGTCAGGCTTTTATTCCATCTCTAGCTTCCTTCGTGAAGTTAAAAATACATTACTGTTTCTACAAATCTGAGTATGAATTAATGTGTTTAAAACTCCTTATCTAAGTGCTTTGTTCCAGAAACGGTTAATAACCTGTGCAGGTTTTTCAGTTACTAATTAAAGAACACAGAATTTTGTGCTACTACGTGTGGTTAAATTTATATAATTTTATATTAATAAAGGTAAATCTATAGAGAGAAACCCAAATAGCTGACAAGAGTATACTCATTTATTAGTCCTGTAGGAGACGGGTGGCTGAGGGACAGGAGGGACTTGAGACTTTATCTTAAGATAACTTGTTTTCCTCTAGCTTCATCTTATCCTGCAGTAGGAAAAAATTGCCAGTGTGTTAAAAAAAGCCTCAAGCAAACCAAAAGCCAAAACAACAACAAAAAATCCCACCAGAAAGCAAAAACCAACAGCTCCTAAACCAGCCCCCCCAGTCCCTGCCAAAACTATGTACTCCTTTCAGTGTGAAATCTGAATTGTCTGCTAGGTTTTAGAAATGCTCTGTGAAACTAATTTGACATGTCTTGTTTAGGAAACCCTTATTACGACAGTGTGGGGTCTCTAGGTGTTGGAACTTTGTTAGGAACTGTGTCAGCATTTCTAATCTACACCAACACTGAAGCCCTGCTGGGACGATCCATTCAACCTGAACAACTGCAGCGACTCACTGAGTTACTGGAAAGTGATCCTGTGGTAAGGTAAGAAGCTTTACAGCTCAGTCTTTACTAAGAGCAAGAAGCAGGAAAATAACATTTGGGAAAAAGTAGTTCAAGCATTTTAAATGAGAGAAATGTGGTGACATTCATTATTTTTAGGGTGGATTCTTCTATATTGAGATTTTTAGAATCTTTGTTATTACTAGCTTCTATTTCTGCGCTAAAAATTTCAATAAGCGAATACTCGTACCTCTCAGATGTTCTACAGCTGAAATAAAATTGCAAGTATGTTCTAACAATTACATTAATTACAGGAATTGACAATGACTTAATGAGAAAGCCATCACAAACATAAAACTATTTTCAAATGCATGAAATGCAAGCACTTAAATAATGCTGTAATGTTGCTTTTATAGCTTATTAGCACTTAGATATTTAAATTCTGTTACTGTTAATATTCAGTGTCTGGAATTCTGTAGCAGTTGGCAGTGAAGTGCTGCAGTAGTATTATGATGTAATAGATTCTGCATGTGAGATGCTTACAGAATGAACTCAATGCTAATTTCTCTTTCTTTGGAAATCTGCAATTTGCAGTGAAATAAACTTATAGGTCATTGTAATTGTAAATGGAAATCTTGTTTAAATGCTTTTTAAGGAGCTGTTTTAGCTTAATTTAACCCTATTAACCTTGATTTAGAAGCAAACCCCTTTTTGTTTTCTTCTTCATCTTTATTCAGGAATATATTTCTGTGTAAATCAGCTGGAATATTTTAGTACTTTTTTTATTCATAGTCATTACTGAGCTCTTGGGGGGGAAAACCCAAGCCCTTTAGTTAACACCAGAATACTTGAAAGAAACTAAGTGCTGCATCATCCCAATTGCAAGCAACAGATCTGAATGACATGCCTTTCATTCCAGAAGCTAAAGGAGATTCCTATTTTGGAATAGGATTGTGTTAGAACTTTCACATGTCAGTAACTAAACTCTGTTAAAGTATTTGTTGTGGCCCTGGCTTAGTCTGAATGGTGGAGCATGTGTAAACAATGCTGTGATAGAGTAGGCGAGTTTGCACGGTTATTTAAAGTGCACAGATGGCTTTTGCTTGTCTCAGGCTAGAATCATAAAATTTCTCCTATCCATTTTATATGATATTCTATTTTGTAGGTGGCTATAATTTCTCAGCAGACTTAGTTGAGCTCCTTGCTGTAGATATTTTCTTAAAACAAGAAGTAACTTAATTTTAAAAAAGAAGAATTAAAAAAATGAAGACTTGGTAAGCAAGTGTGTGTTTCTCTTAAGGTTAGAAGCTGAAGCACATTTAAATACTTCTTATAACACTGTTTGCAGGACCTTCTGAATGTGCTTTCTCTTGAGTGATTTCTTTCTTAGATCCATTACATTATCCCCTTTGATTTCTTTTAGTGCACAGTTTGTCTTCGACCAAATTTTTCTTGTAACAAGCCTAATGTCTTGAGCTTGGTTAACTTACCTCTTCTAATAAGACACCTGGTCTTGATCTCAGAGATCCCTTGCTTGTAACTAGGCATAATTTGGGCAAAAAGTTACTCTAATTTTTTTCTTATTCCAACCTCTTCTTATTTAGGTGTTTTGTTTTTTCATTTTCAACTTTCTCCTGTGAAATGAGGAAGTCTCTTAGATCAAGTATTTCTTGTACTGTTTCATCATAGCTTTGGGCTCGTAAGACTTCCAGCATTTTGTTGAATGTTCAGACTTTCTTAAATTGGGTTGTTTATGTCCTACTCTTTCATTTGGTGTCAGTAGGAAAAATGTAAAAGAAGAAGCTCCTGAGTACTCATATGTTTCTATGGCTGTGACTACTATTGGTGTTTTTATTTCAACCTTTCAGGCTCTTCAGTTATCAAGCCGTACCTGAGATCTCATGCAATCATTTTTGACCTTGGCCTTTCAGGGAGGGTTTGCAATCTTTCTTTACAGATGTGTTCTGCCAAATATGAAGGGAATATATTAGGGAATCATTTAGTATTTATCAGAAGGTATTTTAAATTCAGACTGACCAAAGGATCCACAGGTTCTGATGTTCACCTCCCATCCCCTCCACCATCACTTAAACTTACTATTCCAGCAATAGCTTGCCTGAACATCATGTTCCGCTGCTAACTATCAAGTATTTGATTTATCAGACAATTCTAACTGCTCTACTGCTAAAATAAATAACGCGTCTGATGTTGATCTCTTTTTCAGCTAAATCTTGAATTATTTTACAAGGTTGGTTGACAAGATCTGCATTCCCTAAAACCGTAATGACTGGGATGTAATGTTCTTAATGTATTTTTTTTTTTCCCCATCTCTTTCACTATTTTTCCTTGGGTTGTCAGATGACATTGTCTTTATTTAAATGGATTGCCTCATTTGCCATTCTTAAATTTTGGCACAGTGTTGTTAATCTTCTCTTTTTTTAAATTCTCATCAGTATTGCAGGATGAAAAATTAATTGGCTTTCACTGTTACTCATAGTTCTTTTTTCTCTTGAACGCAGGTTATGGAGCGTGCTGAATTAGAAGCGCTTTTTTTCTTTTAAATATCCACTATGCTTCTTTGCTACTAATAGACGAATGCTTTGTTGTAGTAATACATATTTGCTTTTTTAGATCGAGAAAAGAATGCTTATTGCATGTTTTTGCCTATCCTGTATCGATCATATCATCTTTACCATTTCCATCTACTAGCAGACTTGTTTCTGGGTTATCCTTTTTTTCTGCTGTACTTAAAGTGTTGGTCTGTATCACAGAAAATGCCTCTTTTTTTTATGCTTCTCCTATCAGTTTGCTGGACTACCTAATTTCTTTTTTAGGCTTGTGGTTATTTATTTCCCCTTTCTTTTCATTTTGCTTGGTAATTTTTAGTTGTAGTCCTTATTTCATTTGTGATCCAGAATGGGCTTTCAGAGTTGTTCTCAGCTGGAAAATTACTTGATTCCGTTTTTTGCTACACAAATACTCCATTCTGAACTCTGATTCACACCTTTGGTGCCTAAATCTTTCTTGTATTCAGTTTAACTGAAATATAGGAGATTAGGCTTTCAGAACTGTGAAATAAAATACATGCTGTGGTGCAGACTGTCCTGATTCTGTTCTTATGGAATATAATCATGGATCCCTAAGCATAAACTATTCTTTGTGACAGTTTCATCTTAAATTTTTATTTCATTGTAATAGCTATTGGGTAATTGTGCTACTGTTGTGCTGGAAAATCTATCATTCTGATTTGGAGGAAAAAAAAAAAAAAGGACTTGATGTCCTCTAACAGATTTTTCTTTAATGTGAAACTTGCTCTTTTTCACTAGTTTGAATTGATGATGTCTACTAGCCATCCAGAAGCTTCTATAAGCAAGCTTTGTAGCTTTAGTATGTGCACATTTGTATTTTTGAATTATTAGTGATTTTTCTCCTCCTGACTCACTGTCTTATCTTTCCTGGACAGATTATAAGCAGAAAGCTAGACTTTTTTCATTTACATTCCACTGAATTTTGTTATCAAGTTACTGCTTAATGAGAATCTCAAATATCTCGTTATCTTCTTGCTTAGCTCTGATAGGCACTGTATCGTCAACATTTTTAAATCACATGGATTCACATTCTCTTCAATAACCCTCATTGAACCACATCTGTTATCTTAAATACCCTCTTGTGTGAGGAGGTAGTTGGGTGCCAGTTAGGTCACTGAAGTTAATACTGTTTGGATTTGGTAGCTTCCCGCAGAATAGCTGTGTAAATTTGATTGGAGCTCGAAATTCTTAACTGCTACCAGTAAGCTGATAGTTCTTCTAATCTGCTTAAATATTTACTAAGATGTATTTTTTGGTGTCTCTATATTTAGTTCATGATCTATTTATTTTTTTAATGTGCTTACAATTCCATCAACGTTTCCTGTGACTGTTCATCTTAAATTTCTGCTTCCTGTTCTTTGTTGAATGTTCACTCTGGCAGAATACTTCCAAAATATACCTTCTTTCTTCCTGCACCCCTGGTGAAGTTAGTTGTAATTTCTAAACATTCAGATGAGAAGAAACACTTCTAGTTGTGAATAGCAAATTTGCTTAAGACAAAGGGCATGCTAAACTTAAAGATGCTGTGAAATCGCACAACTTAGTAAAATAGATGGAAAGAAAGTTTAGTACTTGCATCAAGTGAGCTTCATTGCTTATACTTAGCTTTAAATATTAACTAAGTTTGTGTTAATCTAATTAGAAAAAAAACCTAGATGATTTTATTTTATATCTATTCCACTATTGAAATGCAGCACAATATGTCTATGTCCTAAGTTTGTTTCATATCTTATTGTCCCTGGAAAAGAGGGCTTTTTGTTTACTACCTGTACTCACACATCACGGAGTTTAACAAACTATGCTATAAAAATCAGAAGTTTTCAAACGACCAAAATACAAAACATTGCAACATTCATTGCCTAGTGTCTATTAGGAACCTTTAAATAAGTACACATTTCCAGGATTTACAAATAGTGTTATTGTGATTAGTTGTGATCAATATTCAGTATGATGAAAAATGAGTTCCAGGCACAATATCCATAACTTTTTCTTATATCAAATGTAACTTTGTAACTACAGAAGCATCCTTTCAATGTATGCTTTCGGTAATTGGCAGTACCCTATTTTCTTCACCTCAGAACTGAAAGTACTTAAATATTTTGAAGTAGTTGCATGTATATGCACAAAAACTGTGCGGTAGCAAGTAAGTTGAACTTAAAAGTTTAACTCAGAATAGATAACTTCTCACTTCTTTTTGTTGTTTTTTTTTTTGGTTTTGTTTGTTTCTAAATACTATTAGTCAGTTGTTAATCTGCGATGCTTCTTGTAGCCTGTCTTTTATTGCAGTGAGCCCTTTATAGATGCGGGATACCTTTCTTGGTGTAGCAGATACCTGTGGAAGTAGTATAATTGGTTAAATATCAATTGGTATTTAATGGAAGTGCATGATGACAAAATGAGGGTACATTAATCAAACGCAACAGTGTTTTAAAATTACATGATCATTTTAGTGTGATGATATTTTGAACATCAGAAGTCAAACTAGCTAGTTGTTTGTTTTATGCCGTTCTACATTTTCTTTAAAAATTATGTGTTTCAGAGCAATTCATGATGTTAAAGCCACAGACATGGGAATGAGCAAAGTGAGATTCAAGGCAGAAGTAGACTTTGATGGACGGGTTGTTACTCGTTCTTACCTGGAAAAACAAGACATTGAACTGCTGCTACAAGTACGTTTAAAAAATGATTTTGTAACTTCCACCATTTGATACTTACTTTCCAATTTCAAGTATGTCTAAACCCAAGATTTTCAAGTAGATGAGATACATTCCACTTCTTCATTTTGAAGGATTGCAGATGTTTTTACTCTGTGTTAGTGTGTTAAATATCTGTATGCAGAATCATATTATGTGTTGCTAAAATAGATCCACTTCTGGGTTGTGTAGGGTCTGGGTAGGAGGAGGGCAGATTTTTAATCCAGTTTTTTGTTAGAAAATGCAGATTTGTTCAAAATTATTTTGATAAGAACATAATTATTCTAATAATTTTTTTACTGAATTGCAAGATCTCCAGTTAAAACTGGAGTCCTGTCACCTGAGAACAATCTGAGAAGCATCAATTTTGGCAGAGCCATTTTCCTTGGGTGCTGAAGATGCAGTGTCGCAGTGTACAGATCCTGCCATTCAGACTAGGTTTGAATATGGATTGCTTGCACCACATGACTTAGCATTTTGACAGTGTTTAGCAATTAACCATCCTTAAGTAAGCATCTGTGTCTTGATTTCGGTGCAGTTCAGAGTAGCTTTTTTTAATCCCTCTCTTCAATATGGAAATGCAAAACTACTTTCAGCTGAATTTGACATGGGAGAGCTATGAACTAAAGAATTATTTATCTAAATTACTAGGAGAGTTTTAAGTGGGCAAAATGTTTTGCTTGCATACCCGTTTTCACGTGTAACTATTGCTTATATGTGCTTGCTTGTGTAGCTACAAGATTTCTTTCTGCAACCTTTTAAAAATGAAAAGTAGATGTCAGGTGTCTGTATTTTACAATTTTCCTTAAACATGACTTTGAAGTTCCCTGAGTTCATGTTTAAGTTACCGCATTTTTTTTTAAAGCATTATTCGGTGTCCCAGTTTTGAAAATGTACTGCCCTGTGTATGTATATTATATATAGTGTGCGAAGTGATCTGTTCTTGTATTGGATTATTTAATATGTTTTTTGAAAGGAAGAGGGCTATCAGCTTTGTACAGCTGAGGCGTGGCAGGTTTGCTTGGTTTTATATTGCCAAGACTCAGTCGCTTTGCTATTAGTACCCTACCTTTCTTTTCAAAGGCTTTGTTTAGCTTTTGTTCTTTATCCGCTATTCCCTTTGGCATTTGCACAGAACCTTCACTGGTTCTTCCAACTAGTATTGTTGGGAAAGTTGTTCCTGATTGTTTCTAGGTAGGCAACTGTTTCTTACACAGGTCATTGTAGTTTCATGGAGTGTCAGTTTTGCAAAGAACTAACTCATTCAAATAGCATTCATAGTAATCCTTGCAGATATAATGTGATGCTCAGAGTAAGCAGAATAATGGAATAGCAAGAATGTATGAAAATGAGGAAAGAATACACAGGGTAGCCTGCTCTGCCTTGCTGTGAGCAAGGGATAATCCAGAAACTTCTAGATTCTCTAAATTTACTTGGAAAATAACAGAGGAAATCCATTAAAGATAAAGGAAGGTTTTATATTGAGTGCAGGTGTAAGGGTAAGCCAGATATTTTCATTGAATAGACACTGTTCTTCTTTGCCTTTGAGACCTAAGAACAGATGATGTTTTGAAAGGAAATAGCAGAAGCTGAAAAGTATTTCCCATCCCCACCCCCTCAACTTGAAATACATCAGGATGTTCCATAGTGTTACTCTTTATTTTCTTTCCCTCATCTCAATCTCTTAAAATTTATTTCTTTCTAGGAAATACAACAGGTGAAAAACCTTGAAGAATTAGAAGCCTTCATGCTTAAGCATGGGGAGAATATCATTGACACACTGGGAGCTGAAGTAGACAGACTTGAGAAGGACCTAAAGGTAACATTTAGCTGCTTATCAGGGAATGCTTATTCTGTGATACATTTTAAACAATATCACTGCTTCTGCTTTTTGGGATTTTGTTTGTAAATGTGGCAGAGGGGAAGAGGTTGATAATCCTAATGCAAATTTTCTTGTTATAGTATCACAAACTAAGTTCTGACCAGCTGCAAACCCTTACTTTGCCATTGATCAGCTTGTTATGTATTGTGGTCCATTTTATACCACTATAGAAAATATTTTCATGAAATGAGACCTCATTGTGTCTTTGTTACTGTATTCTCAGAATGTCAGGTTATTTAAAGGCTGTGTTAACACACTAACACAGAGTAAAAACATCTGCAATCCTTTTGGTTGTAAAGAAGCAAATTCCAATATTTTACTTTTTAAATCTGGTGCTTAGCATTTTATCAAGTTCACCAGTGTGTGATGAGGGCTTTACCCAACACCTTTAGCTCTTGTTGAAGTAGTGCAGTGTTTACTTCTTTTATAAGCCTGTCACAGTTTTCTTATCATTACTTTTTTTTTCATTCTGCTATTTAAATAACCTTTGGTTGATGCAACAAAGGATTGTTTTAGTTTTTAATTTTATACATATCTTGTGGCTGTTAATCTTACTTTTTCTGGCATGAATACAGAACTGTAAGTATACTGACTGCCAGACATAGAGACCAGTCATGACTATCTTTTCTGGTCATCAGGAGACACTGCTCAAGAGCATGGCTGTCTTTGCATATTATATTTGATAAATATTCTAGTTTTATTTCCTATCCCTAGAGTGATGCTGTTTAAAAATGAAAATATTATTTCTTAGTTTAATTGCACCAGCAGATCCAATTCTTCATGGTTTTTGAGGAGTAGGATCGTGACTAATTAGTTTATAAACATGAATACTGTTTTTTGGTATAGGCAGGGATTTCAGTGATTGTTTTGCTGTTGAATGTGCTTTACTAAATATGCTAGTCAGATTCACTTGCTGGATGACTTTGAAGCAGTGACTTTCAGTAAACCTCTCATGGATTATACGATCCTTGTAATGACCATAACATATTTCTACAATATCAGAAAAAGCATATTTCTTAATAGAAACAGTATTTTGAATCTTTATAAATAGCTTCAATGGCATAGAATAAATTATTTCAGCAATCTTATCCATTAGTCAGGAAAGTATCTGTTAAACATGTATCTATCTATCTCACTTTAAGAAAATTTTATTTGGACACTTTAATATGAAAACAAACTGCCCTCTTAAAATCAAGAGAGCTGCTTCATACTTTATAAAGCACGAGAACAAATTCATCTGTGATGTTGGAAAGTAGTTGTCAAATAAAAAGATGGCTTGGCCTTCAAAATATTGCTTATAGTATGGGCCATGTTTGTTGAAGCTGTTCCTCATTATAAAATAGTTCCTGGGTTAAAGTCGTTCCTATGTTACTAGAAAAAGGGATTTGTTATCCAGTTGCCAACATCATACCAGAAATACATTATTTGTATCAATATGCAAAAATGTCTTTGAATATTTTCGATAAAAATGTATTTTTTGACATTTCATTTCAGCAACGAAATCCTGATGTTCGTCATGTGGATTTGGAGATACTATAGACTTGACAGAAGAAATCTTCAGGTTGCTACTATTTTGGAAAGAAGTCGTGTAAAGGGCTGAAGAGCTTGTGGAATTGCAGTGACCTCAGCACCATACCTCCCTTACTTTTGCTGTAGGTTTCCTGGACTGTGAGCGCTGCTTCTGTTTCTGGAAGAGTGCTAGACATGCAGACAAAAATTTCCATGGCAAAATCACTTTTAAACAGCTACTTGACTTAAAATGCACAGCAGAGTCTGTCAGAGTATATTTACTGCAATTCAGAACTTAAGACCTGAGGTTTAGTTAGGCAAATATAGCTGCCTGAAAATATACAACACACTTCGTTTTTCCATTTGGTCCCTTTGCAGTCAGTTTGCACTTCTTTAGTTTCTTTCAAGATATCATTAAAGGTTCTTGGGAGATATTAAGATTAGCTAGGAAGAGTTTGTTCCAGTGGAACCTGCCAACCTTAAACTAATTGTAATATTTCAGCTGTGTGATTGTTTCACAGTTTTCCTTTTCTTTACTATGAGATGAATTCTTTCAAACAGGCGCTGGCCTTCTCTCAAATACCATGACCTGGAAACCTTCTTTTTGCCACTGTTGTGATTACCAACTGCACTTCAGAAAAATAAGGTTTTTGTCCTCAGTGGAGTCAGCTGTACATGGGTAGCCAGAGCATGTCAAGTTACTGTGAAGAAATTAACGTGTAGAGATTTCAGTGAACTTCCTCTGGTTAAATTTTGTTCTTTTTTCCCGTCTTTGACCCTTGTTCTCTTATTTCTGAGTATCTTCAGATGTAATCTGGGAGATATTTATGGTAGTGCTTATTAAAAGTTACCTGGGGTTTTGGCTTTTTACACTTTTAATAGGCTGTATTGCCCGATATGGTCTTTGCTAGAAGGTGTAAGAGATGTCGTTGGAAGTTACAATACTAAAAATTGTATTAGAACTATTTATAATTAAACAAATGAATACATTGTATTTTTAATTTATTTACCTCCAGACATTATCTGAATTCTAAGGCGCTTAGTTTGTGGTTTTTTTTTTTTAAGAATTGACCTTGCTTGTTTGGGAAAGTAAAGTAATTCTATCGGTGTTCCTCAATAATCCTGAGATAAGTGCTTAGAGTTTATAACTTTGAAATGTGCAATTGTACCACTGTATATAATCAGCCTCGAGGCTTTCTGCAATAGACACCCAAGTTGTATCAGATTCTTTGAGACCCAGCCTTTATTAATAAGGCCATGAGTACTGATCCATACAAGTTAAAATACAAGTGAAATAACTGCATATAAAGAACTCTGAGGAAAATGCACTTTAACATATTTCAGTACAATGAGAATTGCTCATGGGTGAGAGGTGATAATGAGATCCTCCATGACTCAGTTGCTGAGTAATGACTGACTTGCTGAAAGAAGAAATGTTGATGTGAAACACAAGTCTTCAAAAATCAATTTAAGATTAAATTGTAAGCATTGCAGCAAATAATTGTGGAGACCAATATGTCCAGATTTGACTAAAAGCTTTTTAGAATGTTTTTTTTTGTAGTAAGTGTCACTTTCCAGTGAATTATGAGAATTTAAAATAGCATGCCTTTTTACAACTGCAAAGCACTTTGCATTCTGTTTATTTTAAGTAGAAAAACATTCCAGAGTTTAGTTACAGACAGGACAGTAATTGTGGGAGAAGGGATCTCTTTAGTGCTCTTGTCCATAATCCCTTTTCACTGGTGGCTTCTTTATAGCATATTAGTTTATTATGGCTAATCTGCAAGAAGGCTTACGTTATCTGGGTTTCTCCTGTTGTAGAACTAGTTAGTATATTTAAGCCTGATGATTTGAAATGCAGTTTAAAAGTAATTTGGAAGTGTATGTACCAAGTAAATAAGGCATATCTTAGCACATTATAAGTTATGTACCTTTCTCCTTACCCTTCCATGTAAACTTCATCTCATCTCAGTACGCACTCTGCTCATGTTAGTCTTATTCATGAAGAGCACTGGAACCTGATAATGCATAAGCTCTTTCCTTCTTCCTAAAATATTTATATGGATTTTGAATTTGAATAGACACTTCAATAAACCCTTTATTCCAGAAATCTAAAAAACCTGAAAAGAAGTAAAATTGGGAAAATGCTCTTACTGGGGAGGTTAGTGGAGAGGGCCAATGTGGCACAAGCGGTCTGTGTGCTGGAGGTACTGAAGCATGAGTAGTGTTAGCGTGCACTTTGCAGGGTGGAAGTTTCACTGAGAGGTTGGTAAACGTTATCTCAATACCAAAGTGTTCCCCTATCTTGTTTAAGAGGAGGCACGAGTTTATATTCTTACAGGACACCTGCTCCAAGAGTCTATAAAAATGTTTTCTTATTCATCAGAGATGTAATTCTTATGAATTCTGGGCTTAATTTCCTTACGTGAGTCAGAAGTGTACCCATCCACGTATATTTTGTTGGTATTTCAAGATAAAATTCAGATCCTTGTTTCCCAGGTACATTATTTATTATAGCATCACAATATGTTCAATTTAAGAAGCCAGAACTTGAATATTTTGGGGTCCATAACAGTTGCATAGTTTGAGGACCCAGTTCCATTTTTACAAACGACCTGGATGGTGATAACTGCAGGAGGGCCGGCAGACTGGGGTGCTTTGGAAGTTTACGTGTTTTGCAGTTGGATGACAATACTGATTCATTGAGCCTGTCAGGTTGGAAGGGAAAAGTAATTCCAAGCTGTTACATTTTATTATATATATTATAATTTGCAGATTCTTTTTAACAATTTTGACATTTTCACTGCTTTTTTTTTTCTCTAAACTGTCTTGGTGGTCTAAAATTTGAGGTGATGTGGGTCCACTAGTTAATTTACTTTTGTTTAGTGGTTTTGGGGAAAATGTTTAGCTAATGCATTTACATGATTTCTGGAATTACATGATAGAATCCTCAGAATTAAAGAAAGCTTATAAAGTGTGGAGGAGTGGATTTTTTCTTTATTAAAAATGCAATTACATAATGTTTCTTTCTTTTAGATTGATTTTAAGGAAAAGAATTTTTAAGGAAAATGAGGATTTAGCTAACAATAAGGTTATATTCTAGGATTTTTTTCAATTAAGGTGTGTTCTTTTAAAATAACTTATTTTTGTAGACTGGCCTTGCAGGTTCTATTTTTTCAAATTGTATTTGAAGTCCTACTGCCCTCTGCTTTGTGAAAGATCGCTTGTGTGTTGCTCAGTGTCTCAATTCAGTAAAACTTGCAATGGTTGAAAACATTGTCTTAGTGTTCCAATGTGCTGAGTGATATGTATTTTAAGTGAAAGTTGGCTGGACACTAATAATGCATGTTTTCCTGGAGAATTTGTTTTGCTATAAAAGATAAAATTCTGGAGTGATTATCTTTCCCCAATGAATCAATTTCAAGTCTAAATTGCCTCCTTTATACGCCATGGAATTCAGTATTTGATGTGGTCCCCCTCGACCCCTCCACTTTCTGAAGCATTGATTAAGTGTATTGGAGTAGTAAACACTTCAGAGGATTTCTGTATTACAGAGACTCTTTACTGTGTGCTCTGGTCTGGAAGTAGCAGGGACCTGGGGAACAGGAGAACATAGTTTTTCAGGACATATTGCATTCTTTATCCTCTGACTCATACTCAAGCTGAAGGTTTTGTAGCCTCTGCTTTTCTCCTTCCTTGGATTCCCACACAGATTTTATTATTTTTTAAATTACTGCTATAGGAGGAAGCCATTATAAGCATCCTAAGTTTTTAATAGCAGGGCTAGATGCTACTCTTGGTCTCCGGATTTCTTGTTCAGTGATAGCTGACAGTAGAGATTGCTGTTTTGAAAGCTACAAATCATGTTAGCCAAAAATACCAGAGTATGCACCAGTTCTGGCAGGTGCATTTTTTTTCAGCTATTTTCGGAGACTCAGGTTTTTATTGAGATATTTTTACTGGTCCCCCTTTGATAAGGGTGAGTACGGGGAAGAGTTTTAAGTATGTTTTGTCTAGGTAATACGCTGATTGCAATTCTGTCTTCTCCTTATTTGTTATTGTTTTAGCTGACTTACCTTTTTTCTGTAACAAAGAAAAAATTCTGCGTTATGGAAGTACCTCTAGTAATGGTGAGTGCATCGAATACAGGCTTCCTGCAAAGAGTTTTTTGGCTTTTGTGTATTGAAAGCGTGGCAATTTTTAGAAATTCTCAATTAGGTAATCCTTTTTCCTGAAGTTGATTTAGATGTGTTTCTTACAAAAGAATCCACAGAAACACATTGTTTAAGATTTGAAAGAAAAGTATTTCATTTTATGGTCACATGTTCTTTAGGCACTTTGGGTTGGTAGAATAGAGCAATTGATTAATATTGACTCCTGTACAAACCCTGAACTTTAGTGCGTGCCCAAAGGCTTACATTGCAGAAGTGAATATATAATGACAATGTCCTTTTTCATTTCTACCTTCAGGATTGTGCTGCTTCTATTCTATTGTTGGCTCTGAATAGAGAGTACAACTAACATCTCTTTTGCAGTTTACCTGCTTAATGTCTATGAGAAGTCGAGGTGTACCAAAAAGATTTTTTTTGTGGAAGGGTTGCATAGCTTAAATGAGTAATTTTTTCCTTTCTTGTTAGCGAGACACAAATAATTAAGATCAAAAGTAGACTATATCTTTACTGCATATAAAAAGAAATAGGAATCCAGGCTTTAAAGCACAATAGTCAGATTTTTGAAATGCGTGTCCTTTGAGGAAAATAAAATGTGCCGGGAGCTCTTAAGTGGTTGTATGGACTATAGAAATTGCAGTCAATCAAGCTTTGCTGAAGCAAAAGAAAAGAAACTGTAACAAAGTGTGTGGTAAAAAGAAAAGAATGCAAGGAAGGAAAAAACCTAAGGTGTTGAGCACTTGGGAATAGGAAAAAGATGAACACAATCTAAAAAATGTGGGCAGGAATAAGAAATGATGGTTGGAGAGGAGAAGAACAGTAAGAAATGATTTTTTTTTTTTTAATTAGAATGCATAAAACTATGTAATATGTCATTCTCTTTATTTTAACAACATGCAAATAGTTGGGTGATTCCTCCCTCCCACCCCTGGCAAAAACTTAGATTTTTTTTTTTTTTCTTCCCTGTAAAATCAGTGCCTCTGTTTGACTGTTTACGAATATGATACTCAGTCTTGCAGGTATAAACCTATTTGTCCTCTGAAAATTGAGTCGTACTGCTAAGGGTGATGGTGTACTCTCAGTCTGGAGCTTTGTTGGTGAGGTATGTATTTGGTGAGTGGAGGGTGAGTAATTTTAGTTGTGGAAATGGGAGCTGGAGTGAATTAAAGAGAAAATGGATTGATTCTTTCAGCCAGAAAATGATTGAAACACTATACTAAAAAGAAGGTGCAGTGATCCAAGGTCTACAGAATTCTTGCAGTGGATTGTCATGTCAGTCTGTATTTTTCGGGTTGCTTAAATGTTTGTGGCTAAGCAAGATTTCTAGTCAAACCATCACATTCTGAAAAGGGGTTAAAGAAAACATTCAAAGCAAAATGTGGGAAGGAGGTGCATTTTTGAAATACCACAGACAGATACTATAACAGATTATAGTAGATAGGCAGAAAATTGTTCTATCCTATATCACACAAGGCTCTTGAGGACAATTTCTTTGTAAATCAAAGCCATCAATTAAAAGGTTTTTGTTACTTTTTGTAAGTGTTACGCTAACAGTAAGCCTGGTCAAATTTTTGTATTTTCAGCGTTCGTAGTGCTGTTGTGGGGAGGAGGCGTCTGTTAATAGGGGAATACAGCTCCCCACTCAAGGATACATTTGATTTTAAATACAGTCTAAATTTTGGTTATAAAAACTTGTGAGGCTGTGATCAGCTGCTTCAAATCTGAAGACAGAAGGAAAAAAAAAAATGTGATGGTGTATAAATGATGTAATATAAAGGGTTTTTTTTTGTAAGTTTCTCTTCAAGATGATGAAGAACTATGTGAGAAGAAGTGTTTGAAAAATGTTGGAAGCATTTGGAAAGCATTTTGGCTATTGCCAAAATTGTATTAAATCTGAAAGTCAACAGGGAGGATTTTCACTGGTGGTAGGACTTTCAAAGGGCAATCTCAAAGTTGAAACATTTTTCGATGCAGCATTTTCATGAAATGGTGTGCTCTTCCCCTCCGTCCTGACGCGTTTTGGTGTATTGGCTTTTTCATTCTGTGTTTTGGTTACTTCATGTTAGCGTGGGGGGAGTCATTTTGATTAGTGAGGTGTAGACATTTAAATACTTCTCTGCATATGTCCTTTCTTTTGTAATTATACTTGAATTCGGTACATCCTGTAAAATGTCTGGAAGTTGTAATTATTCAGTAAAATGTTCCATAGCCGGTAAAGGTTGTGTTCTGTTAATTCAAGCAATTCCATATATATTGTAAAGGTAAGCAATAACACTGGCTTTAGGCAGTCCATGATGATTTGCTACGTTTCTGAATTCAAAATGCATTTAACAGTGTTTTATGGGTGCAAAACAAAGGTTATATCCATCCATTTGTGCTTGTTGTTCAATTTGCCTTTGTTGGCAGCAGACTCTCTGTTCAATAGCACCCTGCCGAGGGTACCCCGGCTGTATTTACTGACCCTCCCCGCTTCACTGGTGACTGTGCCTCTCATCCCACCCGCTCCTGAGGAGCACAGGTGCTTCCTTAGCACAGAGCAGGCTCTTTCTGCCTGCCTCAGATGCCCCACCGGCACCATCTCCGCTCTGGACTTAGTCCTGACCCAGATCTAAGAGTGACATGAAGAAAGGGAGTGAGAGAGATGGCTTGGGTATAGCCAAGGGTATGGAGAATATCTCAAAGAGGTTGGGTTTATGTAATTTATGTAATATTTATGTAATAACTGTAATTTGACAATCCCAACAAAACTGTCTAAGTTCTTAAAACCCCCCTCAAAAAAAAACCAAACAAAAAGACCCCAACCAAAAAAAAACATTAAAAATGGGGATGCATGATTTTTCACTGTTCTCTGCTTGCTGTTGTTATAGGGATGCGTGATTTTGACCTCTATATGCTAAGAGTAAATTGAAGTGCTAATCTTTACCAAAAGTTGATGCCCAGGTAAGACACTCAGGGCCAAACCCAGACGAATTCCTTGGTGTAGGAATTCTCTTGGCAGCTCTGTTTCTCCTGGAGCCCCTCTCCGCCTGGAGAAGGGATCAAGAGGTGGTGTCCCCAGCAGAACAAACGTGAGTGGAGAACAATGAAAGTCATCCCTCTCCCTCTCGGTGGCTCTCTTTCAGCCCGAGCTGTAGGCTAAGGGCAAGGTGCTGGCAAGGCACCCCACCTCTAGTCCTGGGGACAAGGTTCTCACAGGAGAAGTCTCTCTGTAGCCTTTAATTCCCTTCAGCAGGCAGCAGTCTATTAAATGCAAGAGAGAAAAATAGAGGGATGAGAGCGGAGGAGCCACCACATCTGTGGTGGTTTTTAAAAGTTTTGGTTTTTAATGTGAAATGAGATCCCTGCCTTTGGGATTTGCTCCTGTGGTGACAGATGTGAAATAACGTTTGCTTTGGTAATTTTTGAATTTAAATAGAGGAAATGTTCCTCCTGCAAGTCATGGTTGTGCAAAATTTCCATGATATGCCTGCTTGTGACCCAAATGCTTACACCTACTGCTGAGTAGATACAGCATTCACATTTCTTAATTCTCTCTGAGCATAAATTTTGAGGGTATTTGTCCTTTTTCTGCCATCAAAGAAAGCCACGCTATAGCTTAGAACCTAAGTGTCCCCAGCTTCTCTAAACAGCTCAGACCTGTTGCTTCCACCAAGAGCTTAGGTTGTAATGCATGGAAATATGTATAGTCCTGTCGTCTTGGTTCACAAAGATAGGAAGTCTGGGAAGTCAGAGCTTTCCAATGAGAATTATTATTATTATTATTATTATTTTCAGAGGGATTAACACCTTTTTTTCTTTTCCCTATGTTTCTCAGAATTACCCGAAATTATTTTGGTTCAGCTTTCACTAATAAGGTTTTTCACTAATGAGGATTTTCACAAAAAAAAATACAGTAGGCTGAAGCCCCTGATGTAGAAGATACCAGCCCAACCTCGGTTAGTTCTGCAACCTTATAGGCACCCAAAATCGTTGTTTTATAGTGAAAATATAATGCAAATGGCAACCATTTCTAATAGATGCCAGCAGTCTTGCTTCCCAGCCCAGCAGAAAGTATGTTTGTCACCATAATTCCTCTACAAATTATTTGGAGTCAGGATTTTCTAAAGCGTTTAAGAGAACAGGAGACATTCAGCCATCGCTGAATTTTGAATTAAAATGGGATTTAAACTTCACTGCTTGAAAATCCAGGTCTTAGGATTGCAGATGGGTACTGTCTCTGAGCGGTCTTTCTGTCTAACTGGTGCATAAATATATGTGGTTGTATTTTGAGCCAAAAATGATTTATATCGTATTCATAGTTGAATTCTTCATAATCTTGCACTGTGCTTGCTGGTGCTTCATACTGAACAAGCATTTAATACAAAAGATAACCTTCTAGCCTCTTACATAAATCTATATTTAAAAATGTATATATACACAATATATATTTCTAGTGAGAGCCAGTTGTGACAGGTGTCACACTGACAGAGCATCTAGAGAGAGCAAGAGAGACAGGTTAACCAGAGACTAACTTTTATTGTGCATTTTTATGCAACAGAACAAATGGAACTGGAGGTATGTAGTAATAAAACCAATATTCAAATTAGAATTAACACCTGAAATAGTAAACTGTAGGTAACAAATGTCTTTATAATTAAAAAATATTGACTGTTTAAAAAATTATCTAAGATTTTATATTCTTTAAAAGAAATGTGTGTTGCCACATAGAAAACAATTCACACATCCTATAGAAATTGTCACAAAAACCTTACTAGTCTATATTACACTATGCACTTCTTTTGTACAATATCTGGTAAAGGTCTATCCCTAACCTGTACTTAACTCTACACAGTACAATCATCATTAGAAAGTATTCATAGAATTAACTACACCATAACGATAAAAATATCAGGATTAATGGTTTTTTTTTAAATCACAGTTTCTCCACAAATATTTGTCATAGAAAATATAGCGAAGGCATGTCGGCACAGATGGGCGTGCGGGGCTGCTACACAGAGTTCTGAGAGAAGGCAGATACATAAATGACAGTGAGATTAAAGAGCATGGAAGGATAAGACAAGCATCTCTACCCTCCTGGGACTTTCTGGAGTGACATGACAGATAGTGGTTCCCTTCTGTCCTGCATCCCGCGCTGGGGAGGGAGGTGCTGACACACAGCACCCTGCTCACAGCCTCCCATCTAGTACTCCAGCTCCCAGAGCGTTATTCCTAACACCTTGGGGGTATATAGACACTTCAATGTGCATGGGTTTATAACGCCTCATGAAGAAATTAATCAGAATCAGCGGTCGTGAAAGGTTTGTGGTGGTGTTTTGTTGGTTTTTTTTCCAAACGAGATGGGTGGGTTGAGAGTCAAGAGGCCGTGACGGCAAATCAAAACCAAGACAGACAACTGTACTCTGTTATTTTAAAACCAAACACGGACAAAAGAAGGTAAGTTGGTGTCTGCTAATGTCTGTGAGTACAATTCATGTCACCGACAGCGCACACAAGCAACTGAGGGGCAAAATTTCCTTCGTAAAGAAAGGTCCGAACCTGCAAAGCCATTTTTAGTGCCAAAGTGGCTTCCAGGATGAAACGATACATTTGGTTATTTTGCACAGTATGAGAGCAGGGGATTGTGAGTGGTTCCGGGAGGCTGGCTACACTTTTTACACTAAAAATAAAGCTAGGCTTACTAGTTATTTCAGCAAATCTTTAGGTTATTAAGTAAGAGAGGTCTGTCCAGTCCAATAATTTTGACTGTTAAAAAAGAAGCGTTTGTATTTTTAACCTCACATGATTAAACATTTGTAAGGAAACCATCACAATGTTTACAAAAATACATCATGATACATATTGCCGTGGACAACTCTACAGTATAATGTTGACTCACACATTCTGACATGTTTTACCAAGTAGTTCTGGCAAGTGTCACCACATTAAACATAGACCAGCAAGACTTAACGCCATCTGAGCAATGTAACATCTTCTATTATAGTTCTTTTAAAAAAAAAAAAAAGTGTAAGTTCAACACTGAAAAGCTACTATAGGATTACCTGTACCGTGACATTTCTATACACTGAGTTTCTCCTCCAGAGGCCACCACGCACCGTTGACCATCCGAAGCAAGTCACCTCCTGCCTCTAGTGAGGGACGGTGTCCCAAACCCCTTGGCCAGGTGAGTGCCCGTGTGACTAAACTGCTCATTCACTTCTGGAAATTAAATGGGTTATTCTGGGGCAAGCGAGTACCTTTCAACCCCCTTTCAAAAATCACCAAAAATAAAAGGAAACAAGAGGTATTGGACATTTAAGGGCCTAAAGCATATCCTGTCTGCGTGAGGTCCCATCTAGAGGGGAGTGTGGTGGAGCCCGTGTCCCGAGATGCTGCAGGGGCTGGCCATGAGAGACTGGACACAGCCCAGGCAAAGAGGAGGCAGATGGTGGGAAGAAACTATAATGTGAGTGAGCTGGCCTTTGGAAGTCTGGCCTAGTCCTCCATGTGCGGTCACGACAAAGCTAGAGGTGTGCTTCAGCCCAGAGGGACCTTCCTGGTCTTTGAGGAAGTGGTTGGGCACCTCCTGCCCTGCCCAGCACACACACGTGGGGAGGAGAAGGTTAAAAGGAGCAATAAGTAGCTTCTCTCGTGGCTTGCAGGAGGTGGTTAAGAAAGCTGGGGAGCATGAGAGATGTGTTCAGGAGAGTCAACGCTGATGAGGTAGCACTAAGGATGGTCAAAAGCGGAGTGAACTTTCTTTCCAAAAACCGGTTCCCTGTACCTGCCAGTAGGGAAAGGCTGCCTCAAGGAGAGCTGATTCAGGCTCTGAAGGATGCCAGCACTGGCCTGAGCGACTGGACAAGGGTAAGGAGATGGAGACACCCTGACACAGAAAGGAAAGAGTATCATTTCTTTGGCATTGTGTATTTCTGGAGTGCATCAATTTGGAGGGACATCCGCCTTTAAAATGAAAGGTTTTTCAGTGGACTGATTTTTTTTCTTTTTAAGGTTGGCATCTGCTTCCGATGTTGTACGCTGTCATGAATTGGCTTCTGCTCTAACACAGATCTTTTTTACAGCTCTTAGTTAGTCTGGACCCCAAGTTTACTTAAGACAGGTGGCTAAAGTAGGCTTTTCTTACCCAACCCCTCCCTGGATGCACCGCTGACTGTTAAAACCAGCACATTGCCTCATCTATTTCAAGGAATGGATATCAAACACAAATGAAAACAAAACCA